TAAAAAAAAAAAATGTTACAACTGGGAGCCTGCACCTTAGCATCTTTACGTTTCCAAAACATTTTTTGTCATATTTGCATACATAAGGTTGAGAAATAATAAAAAAAAAATGGGAAAATTAAAACCCATTTTGTCCCTATTCTCAAGAATCACTGAAATAACAGTTTTATGGGTTATAAACTATTATAAAATACTGTCTGCCCATAAGTATAGTCCATTAACTTATCCAAATTAATTATCAGTGATATTTGTTAGCTTTATTCTTAGTGTTATAAAAATATTTAATTTAGCCCATTACTTTAGACAGGTGTGCTGTCGTTTGATGTTTTCAGGTAATTATAAATCAGTAATTTAGGTAAATTATTACTTATCTGTTCTTATAATATTAATTTAAAAATATCAGAAATTCCTGGTTAAATGCCAAAATATGTGAAACGTCTCCAGATTTCCTGGATCAGGCGGTTTGTGTGAGTTTCTGTGCATAAATGTGAACCTGTTGATGTGAATGGAGGGAAATGCTGCGTTCAGTGAACAGAAGCTGCGTTTGTGTCGTTTGTTGAGGTATGACGAACATCGTTATGAATACGTGTCTAGTCAAAGTCTGGGGAAGTCGTCTGATGACCTGCAGCAGTACGTCTTCATCTACAGGTGAGACGCAGGATTTCATAAAGTCAACTTACTTTCACTAACATTTCAATTAAAACTTTATTAAATTATTTATACCCTTCAGTTTTTCGTGTCCTTCATGGTTTTCTCCTGAGCTTCCTCCCTTTTTTTTGTTCATTCCTTGTTTCCTCGTATCCTTCCTTCATTCCTTCCTACCTTGTTTTTTGTGTCCTACCTTATTTCTTTCCTTGTTTCCTCATGTCCTTTTTTGTGTTCTTTACTTCCTTCCTTCTTTCCTCGTATCCTTTCTTCATTCTTGTTTCCCTGTGTTCGTCCTTCCTGGTTTCTTCCCTTGTTTCCTTCCTTCCTTCTTTCCTATAAATACGTGTGAGTCCTAGTTCTCAGACTGTGAATCCATGACTTGACCTTTGACCCTCTGATTAGGACACACCTGGTGAAACAGTTGGGTCAGCACCAGTACGAAGGTAAAGCCTTCGTCCGGCCGCCGTTTGCCATCCATTTCAGCTGCAGTAAAACTGGTCAGTAGATTTTTTAAAAGAACTGAAACGGTTCTTTCAGACGGTTGGTTCTGATCCGTTAAACGTTGTTTCTTCCAGACATCAAGGAGTTCGTTTTGGTTCCGCTCCACTCTGACCCGGACCAGGCCGTCCAGGAGATCGATTGGCTCTATGACGTCTTTGAGGAAGTCAGCACAAAGTGGAACAACACGGTGAGGAAGCAGCAAGATTCTGAGGTCAAAGGTTGGATAGACAAAGCTTGAAAGTTCTAGAAATGACGATCCTGGTAAAATGATGGGATGTTCAGAACAGGAAGGGTTGAGGATGGATGGATGTGGTTGGTTCTGGTTGGTTCTGGTTTCCCGGTGCATTGTGGGTGTTTCCTGCCTGGACCGTTGTTCCTTGATGTGGGTCGACTCCGTGTTTTTCAGAACGTGATGTTCCTGGGAGATTTCCACGCCGGCTGCGCCTACGTCACCCGGAACGACAAGAAGAAAATCCGTCTCTTCACCAACTCCAACTTCTCCTGGCTGATCGGAGACCGAGAGGACACGACCGTCACCGACACGACCAGCTGCCCCTACGACAGGTCGGTGCTCGAAGGAGACGTCCAACGGCTGCAGATGTTCTCCAGACCAGACTAACCTAACCCTGCTGTCCCTCCTCCTCCTCCTCTCCCTCCTCTCCCTCCTCTGTGTGTTTCAGGATCGTGGTTCATGGACAGTCCTTCCTCAAGGCCATCAGGCCGTTCTCTGGAAAAGTTTTCAACTTTGGCAAAGAATTCAGGCTGAGGCAGGCAAAGGTAGGAGGCCTGTGGCTCCAGCAGAAGGATCCAGAAAAACGTTTGTACTTCTTAAGGAATGATCTCTTCTGATAGATCAGGTCAGATCACCCTCAGCTGGACTCTGCTTACTGATGAGGCCACTTCTCAAGTCTGGATTTTAATCATAGGCACAAGAGAGACATCTCAACATTTTTAACAAATCCTTCATTTTCCTTCCTCTTCACATTTATGCACCACTTTGTCCCCATCAGATAAAATCCCAATAAAAATCTTCCATCTTTGTGGTTGGATTATAAAGTTTTTGTATGGAAACAAAACATGCTGCAAACACATAAATGATATAAACTCTTAAACACAAACATCTAAAAACCACAGAAAATGCTGCAAATTACAAAACCAGTAAATGATAAAAAGTCAAATTCTCTGCACAAAACAGAAGTCCTCCAGGCCACCAGGGGGAGCCTGGAGTTGGTAATATTACCTACATAAATATACTGCTGGTCAGTAATGTTGTGAAAGTCTGCAGTAGTGAGAACAGCTGGTCCCATCACCCTGCACCTCTGGGCTCAGTCAAAGTCCCATCAGGGGTCAGGGGTCAGGGTCGTAGCTTCACATCCAAAATGGAGGACTGGTCACCGTTTAGGCATTCTGCTGCTAAACTACAACAAAACAGATTATTTTAATTTGTGTTAGTAAAAGTAAGTTTTGTTATGACTTATTGAATTCAATATAATCTCTCATGTTCAGCGAAACAAAAAATATTTTAATACTTTATTTTTGAAAACTGATTTTATTCTATTTTTTTGCGACTGACAGCTCGCTCTGTGAACCATATTTCCAAGATGGCAAAAAATACACATTAAAATTTAAAAATTATCAGTCTATTTGACTAATAGACTAATTTGACTTTTACTCATTAAACAGTCTGTTTTATGCAGATAAAATTTGAAAAATAAAAAGACTAATGGAACTAAAATGTCCTTTTTAAAATAAACTATGAATGTTGTGACTTTATGAACTAAACATGTTATAATAATTCATCAGTTTTCTCCTCTAGTCTGAGAATTTGTTTAAAAATCATGATGACAATAAGAACCAAATATCTTCCTATTCCACTCCCACAAAAAACGTAAGATATTAATTTCATAATTATATATAAAGTTTCTCCTATAATGGCTTTCTTCAAAAGAAATTCAAAAGAAATATAAATTCCCACATTTTATGACAGATTTTAAGACAATAAACATTTTTTAAATTGTCATGAATATTTTTAGAAAGTTTTCTACAGTGGATATTATACAATAAATCTATTCCATCTTGAGTTTTAATTTAATAAAATTTGGTCTTCTAATAGGGATGAAGAGTTAAATTATGATATATTTAATCTAAGGTAAGTTTTATTCACAAATACTGATTTCTAAAAATCACCTCCATTTTTAAAACGAAATAATTTTATTTTAGAGAGTGCTTAAATAAAATCACAAAAGCCCAGTCGTTGAACCAACATATCTTAAGATTTGAAATTTGTCTTGCATTTGTGACATTTTGTTTTACTTTCCTCAGTTAGTTTGTGACTATTCTTTTTATTTCTTCTTTTTTCTGCTCAGTTTATATCAAACCTTTTTATTACTAATGTGCCTTGTCATTATATTTTCTTTGAATTTTCTATAAAGACGGCAAAACAAAACGTTTCCATAAATCCGTCATTTAACTCAAAACGTCACATGCAGCAATGAATTGTGGGTAATACACTTCCCCAAAGTCTGTAGAAATGCAGACGTTGTGTAAAGGTGGAATAGGTCCCAAAATGGGCAGATGTGGGACCCACTGTGACCTTTAACCTTCAGCATGTCGGAGGGAGGGGACTGGGAACGGGCTAAACATAGACATAATATAAGGATAGACCCTCATGGACCGCTCTC